CCCATAACACACGGTGTTGCACTGGTGTGGGAACAGAGAAATTGGCTTAGGCATTCTAGTAATTTGTCCGAATTCGAAATGATGATAGAAGAGACTAGTAGGTTGTCCGAGCTGTTTCCAGAGTCGCATATGCGAAAATTGTTAGACGTCGATACCGACCATCAAAGAAGTTTATTGTCCGTATTGAAAGTACATCATAGGATTGCCAGAACTTTCTAGGCACCGCACTTAAGGTAATAGCAGGCACCCCCGATGCCGCCGATTTTGAAATGCCAAAAATATCCGAATCTCGATTAATAGTCAAATAACAGGCAAGTGGTCATTAATACGCAAACTCAAAACAAGATTATCGAATTAACAGAAGCAGTTAACAAAATCATTTGAGCAAAACAAAATAATATGGTTGACACTACCCACTTGTACTAGCTACTCTTGGCTAGAAACAGAATATTAATAACCGAAATTCAAAATTTAATGCTTACCGTCACACTGGCTAAAGCCAATATCATAAACCCTGCCATTCTTACCCATAACGATTTGAAGTCTGTATTAATAGATCACCCCACAGAAGTCCCCGTTATAAGCCTAATAGAGGCATCTAATATTAAAGTCTTCCAGTCCGATAGTATTATCCATGTGATAATTGCATATCCTAATATTAAAGCCACTTGTAGAAAGGTTAAAATTTTTCCTGTATCACACCAACACATCATTCTGCAATTAACGGAGAACATAGTAGCGGAATGCAACAACGACGTTCTGGCAGTCACCGATTGCGTATTAACAACTTACGCTTCGTACTGTACAGGCCAGCCATTTAAGCCCCATCACACTGGTAGACGACGGCGTAATAATAATCAACGAGTGCCCAGCTAAAGTCAGCACTGACGACGGTCCTGAAATAGATACCAACGGCTCACATCTAATTATGTTCGAGCGAGTGGCTTTCATCAACGGCACCAAATACGCTAACCTACGTGAAGCCTAAAAGAAAACACCTGGCATGGCTGCGTCCCCATTGCTAAACATCATCGGCCATGATCCCAGGCTAAGCATACCACTTCTCCAAAGGATCAACAACGAAAATTTGGAGGTTATCCAAGGTCTTAAGGAGGAAGCGAAATCGGCTGAAACTACTGACATCTGGTTTGCAGTCGGCGTGGGAATCAGCGTCTTCATTAGCTGCTCCATCCTGCTCATCTTGGTGTTGAGGAGGAGACGAGATGCGAGGGAAATACAAAAGGTCGTTGACAAGTTCCAGATGACCGAGGACGGTCATACTTCAAGGGGGGAGTAGTTAACACGGTTAATGAGTAAATTTAAGTCGGTATAAGTTCAGGGTCGCTACCCCAGTATTTTATATGCAGATTCAGCATAAAAGCCTTAGGGGCCGTGCCTGGTTCCCAACGGTTACCCAGTATTGGGAGATATGCAGTTTTTGCTAGTGTCAGCACTTTGCTGGACGAGCGGTCGGCTTGCCGGCCGCGAATAGCTGGAGTAAAATAGAATAAGTTCAGTTTGATTTCAATTATAATAAAGAGCACACGCTCAAGAATCCTACTCCAGCGAAGGCTGCATATTTTATATTGGTTGGCTAGCCTTAAGGGTAGTCAATAACGGAGAAAGTTCTCCCAACATATACTAAACCTATACCAAGCTACGCAACGAAACGTTGCGCATCGCGAGCAGAGAAGATCTCCGCTCCCCTCCCCGATCGAGAGGCCGACCAAGTCGGACTGACGTCATCACCCCTTCCCGTCAGACTGAGGCGTGGGACAACCCAGGGAAATAACTAAAACATAATTTATATATTAATCCTGAATGGATAAACGTGTACTTATAATTTTGGATACCTGCGTTGGGGGGAATACCCCAACAGTCTTAATGAGCAAATTCAAGGAAGTGCATAAAATACTAAATAGCTTCGGAAATGGCCAGTAATTCTCTGTCATTAGTGCGATAATCATTTGTGCCAACAATCATTTGTATACTACTCTGGTACAGCTCCTATTGCAGTGTCGGACGCATCATAAACTTATGTAAGTGCAGAGCCTGGTGAAGGAAAATAAATGACGGCACCTTGCGGGAGCCTTTTTTTTTATTCTTCGAAAGCACGAATATGTTCTGGCGTCCAATCGATTTTTTGTTGATCCTTTTTCTTTACATTTTTAAGCAGCAACGACGGCAAAGGTGCTTGGATGTGTGATGAATGCAGGATACATAGACGACAATAATTTACAATGCCCAAGAACCTGCCGAGCTGACCTCGGTCCATGTTTACGCAAAGGACGTGTATTGATTTAAAGTTACAACAACAGTTAATTAATAATAATTTGACACGTAAATTTACATATATACAAATACAAAAAATAGGAAATTTTAGATTTATACTTTTCATTTTATTTGAATTAAATAATAATACTTATTATCATATTTAAATTAATATCACAACTAGTCAAGTCTATTGAGGATTAAGATCAGATTCGGAAGTTCCCGAAACCCAATAGGATTGCGAATGATAATTGGGTTCAGCCAAAACTTATGGAACTAAATGTTGTCATGAATTTAATCAGTACTATATCGCAGCGCTCTCCAAGTCTCGGACCATGACCATTCCTACTTGACAAACAGTTTGTTTCGAAAAACCATGAACTCCTTCCCAAAATACTAGTCAGCAGAAGGGCCAGGTGCTAACTATAGGTGCCTAAACGCCAGCTGGAACTCGGAGTTCACCACCCTCAGGGCCATCTCACACAGAGTTAATAGAAAACACGATCAAAGGTGCTGTACAAAACATGCAAAACGAATTGCTGGCCATGTTCACGAACAAAATGGCCCAGTTAGTTTTTACTATATTTTATATGTATAAGTGAAGAATTACGACTGAAGAATTAAGGATTAGCAACTGAGGTGAATTTTGCTGGTCAAGAAGAAAGAACCGGTTTAGAACAGCAAGATTCAGTAGACCCTATGAGAGTTCGAGTTATTTCTGCGAAAGGAACTCCTAAAAGTTTTATATCTGACTTAAGCCAGAGTGCCGACATAATAGGCCATATCTTAAACAGTTGGAAATTGCGGTAGTCCGGACGGATTTAGAGAGAAATCTCTAGTGGGACTTTCCTTACACTGCTCTAAGAAAACAGTTCCGGGACGCTTGGACTGTTATAAACATAAGGGAGGAAATTCGCGATAGGAAGGCAATTTTACGATGCGGTAACGAAGATTATGGATAGTTCAGATATGCCGCTGGCTGAAATGGAAGTGGTCGAAATTCTAAAGCAGAATTTAAGACAGAAAATAAGGCATAAATCTACAAGTTCGAACTGTGGAAAGGTTGCTAAAAATTTTTCGCCGTAGGTAAGATTTCTTAGAAGAGTCAGGGAAAACGCAGGGTTACCAAAAGGACATTCTGCTTAGAAGTCAAGTTGGTGAGTTGTCCGAGGAGTGGGAAGATGCCAAAGAGTTTTCCGAGGATGATGGCCTCTGGGAAGTTGGAGCTATAGCTCTCATCTGCTGTGTCACAAAGAGGGTCAAAGATATCAAGATATTGCGGATCTAAGAGAACAATTTTCTGCTATAGCTATTGGTAAATGCCTATAAGACAACAATAAGGAGTTGAAAACTCCTCACAAATGCAGATGTCAACTCAGAGGTAGGCAACAAATCAGAGCGTAGTAACGGCAGCGAGAAAAAGAGAGGTCGAAGAAGGAGAATTGGAGAAAGAGAGTTTGGAGAAACGGAATCCGTAGACAGCTTGGAGAAACGGAATCTATAGAAAGAGAGTCTGGAGAAAAAAGGGTTTGAAGAGAGAGAATATGAAGAGACGGCACGAACTGGACAGCAGTAGAAAAGTAAGCGCCGGCGTACTAGAAACGGTACCAAGCTGAACTTTGGACCAGGCGAAAGATAAACCCGTTGAATTTGGACCGGGAGACATCGAGAAATAACGGTTAAAGGAGACCTATATAAGCACGCCGAGCACTGGAAGCGGGACAGTCAATGAGAACGAGAATTCGAGTGAACAACGCACGGAATTGGCAAGGAAGCTACAGCCGTGAAAGTCAGTAAGGAGCAAGATCGTTACGTCGAGACGTTCGGGACGGGGCAAGTCTCCGAATCGAGACACAGGTAGCTGAGGTCCATTCAGAGAAAACACGGCTAGGTTGAGACGCCTTGCTAAACGGTGAATCGAGACCAGACCCTGGCGTTGGCCCGGCGAGTTCGAAAGTGTTTGAATAGCCGAGCCCAACCCTAGCAAGGACCCGGTCGGAGATTGAGTACGTAACTAGGCGGTTGCCTGTAGCGTTCGTAAGAACCGAGCAGGTGGTACTGGCGCCACCAGTCAGAGCAGACGTGGGGTTGACGTGTTGCTAGCTCACCCGGCTATTGCCTGGAAGACACAGCCGTTGGCTACCGTGAGTCCGCATACGACAGTAATTCCTAGCACCCAGCAGCGCAGGGTGGATGAGGTTCAAGGACGAAGAGACCGGCAGGAGAGCAACATGAGACCGTCGAGCAGACCCGTCCGGGCCCGTCCACTCCAACTAGACGGAGGGGAAACCCAAATCGGAGAATCAAACCAAATTGTAAAACGAGACAAATAATGATTAATTGATGAAAGATTGAAGAATGATAATGCAATGATAATGTTTTCACTCACCCAAGCAAGTGAATTATATTTTCAGATTATTATTGCCGCAATTATTGCCGACACCAAAAAAGTGTCTGCATAGTGCATAGTGCATTATTCTAATGTCTTCTACTCTACTAGTAGCGGGTATAATTTCTATTAGGATAACTAACTATCATTTAAATTAGCTAATAAAACTTCTACATTGTTTATCATGTTTATCTAGAACCATTTTAAGAAATATGCTATTTATTATTATATTCCTGAATTAAATTGGTCTGAAGATGACTTAGTTTTGGAATTGTCCTTTGAAAAACAGTCTTTTTACTCCATCAACTATTCAATTATTTATATTTTTGGATTTTTACAGTTTAATGGCTCTATATTACCCCGATACAAATTTAAAGGAAATAAGTCAAATTACCCTTGGAAGCGGAAATCGATATCGAAGATCGTCAGATCTAAATCAGCCGAATACCGTAGCGACCGAAGAATATGATTACGGAGACATTACTGGTTATGCTTATAAGGGTGAACAGGCATCTGGAAATAACTTCATTGTAAGTTAGGGTTATTTCGTACTTAGATGAGTTATCTTAACTATTTATTTCTTATAGACTCCTGGTGAATTTAACACCAAATTAATCTTGAAGGATAATATTGGCTTAATTTTGAAGAAAAACAATAAAAATGGTATGTTCCAAGTTATAAATATAAAAACATCTTAAGTAAAAACTTTTTTCAAGGATATGATCATCCTCAAAGAGATTATACATCCGATTATAAGGGACATTCGAAGCGTCATAATTATGTTACCGATTTCTCGAACCAGAAAAAAGAAATCAATTTCAAGGACATATCGGACATCGCACTAACTACTTTAGCATTTTTATCGTTCGGAATGTTTACTCTACAAGTGCTTATGTGCATAGTTATGGTAACGTATAAATTAAAAAAAAACAAAATATATAAAAACTAGACAGAATGCTATAGACGAGTTCCCCAAAGTTTTTTTTGCAAATCAAAAAATTTGCAAATTTTTAAAAACACTTTTAAAAGGTGTGGGCGTGGCAGTTTGAGCTGTGGAACTGTGGGCTAGTGGAAGTGCAAACGAGAAATCTCAAAGCTTTCTGAAATATTGGAAGAAATTGGAAAAAAAATATTAAAATGAAAAAACTTAAGAATTTTTTAAAAGTGCGGGCGTTTTGTGTTTCTTAGAGTGCGCGTGGCAAACAGTTTTTTGGCAACTCTATAGAAATTTACAAGATATATAAAAAAGTAAAAATAACACATTTTTTAAAAGTGTGGGCGTGACAGTTTTTTTGCGGTTTGTGGGCGTTAGAGTGGGCGTGGAAAATATTTTTTTTGCAAATAAAAAAATTTGCAAAAAAACATCGACTCGGCTATTGATCCGTTTCCTTCTTCCTGTTATATACTTTTCAACGAATCTAGTGTACCCTTTACTCTAGGAATTACAGGTATAATAATCAACTTTCAATTGCACAGGCACCTGATAACATTATTGCTCATGATAATCACAGCGGTTTACGGCAGCAAATTCAAATTAATAATATTGACCCCAACCACAGATATCCCCTTTTTTCTGATAATCTGGAATCATATCCTCCTTTAAACATCATTGTCCGAGATTCAACTTAACTGAAATAAACATCGTAGCTTACTATTTTGAGCAAAGGCTACTTGAGCAAAGGTTACTTGAGCAAAGGCTACTGACTACCATGCATTCCAAGTCAAATTTTTATACAATAAAATGAAATGAGAACTAGCTGGAATAACTCTGCAACATAGAAATAAACGGGGACTTATTAACATTGTTGGCTCAATTTTTTAATACCTATTTGGCACACTTGATGAAAATTATCGAGTAGAAATACAGGAGAAACTTGACACAAACGCCCATAACTCAGATATAGGAACTCAACGACGCTATATGATTGATAAATGACGGAATGCAAAAGATACAGAATTATGAAACTGACATCAGCATCATTAACACTCTGTTATTCGAACTTTTGTAGGTTACAGAATACATCGAAAATTTGGAAATGGCCAAAGCTTTCCACACTCGGACTGTTCAATCACAAGCTATTACATTACGATAAACTTAAAAGTGTTAACAGCAAATTTATTGCAAACATTATAATCCCCTTGGATTAATTACAATGATAACCAATTCACTAATAAAGACAATTAAAATAAACCCATACCCAGACTCCAACGGCTATCAGCTAGATTACACACACACACAATCATATTTCCAAAGAGGAAATAAAGTTTACAATACCGACTAATATAACATATTTCTAATTTTAAGCTTATGCACGCGGATGAAATAATAAAATACATAGAACCTGTTACGTCGGCATATTTGTACCCGTGGTACAAATTGCCTCGAGGTAGAGGCTTCCGATGTTTAGGGACCAGGTTGCCAGCATAAGCTTGTCGTATTGAGGTCGTGGGATCATGGGATCCTGGTTGACAATAATTTGTTTAGCGGACAGCAACGCTTTTGCCACCGGTCAACGGTGTACACGTCAGCAAATCTGCTGATAATTCACGACTACAAACTTTAACTGTACAAGTAACGGGTATAAAAATATTAATTATAAAAATATGTAATTAGTCAAATTGCATTGCCTGGAAGAGGCTAAAAATAATATCTTTTTATTTCCTATGCTCTTACAAATATATGTTGTGCGTAAGTAGAAATGAAGTTGTAACGAGAATATAAGTTAACTGGAGTCATTTACATATTGCTTATGCCCTTAGTTTAATGCAAGCGCATCGGAGCTTTTGAGAGAAGAGCTAAGCTTTGCTGAGGAACGTAGGGTAAAGATAAGAGATCTATTCTGTAATAGGCAGTCGATATTTGGAGATCAAAAGCGTCGGTCATCGCCACGCACAAACATACAAATTCGTCTCATTAAGTGCAGACCGCACTAATTCTATTATAATTGTATACAAATAAAAATATACGAAACACTTCTAAAGATAATTTATGCGTGTATTAAGTCGAGAATAAACAAGAAAAAAAGTGCACATATAAAATTACACACATGCGCTTATATACTGTGTAATTTTGTATATGTATATGTTTATATATATAAATAAGTGCAGATATATATGTATATATGCATTATGTACACACATGTATGTATCACTGCGGCACGCTCAAGTAGCTATCCGTTTCTCCAATTACTCGGTCACTGCACTTCTTTTTGTTGCTATTATTTTTACTTTATTTGGTCTGGCATTTAAAAATTAATCGGTTCACTAATTTCTTTTGTTTGTTTTGCCGACTGTTCATTCTCGGCTGTAATTATTTGCGTTTAATTTGCTGGCAGTGTCACTGCACTGTTTAAGTTTGGACTCCGTCTTTCAGTGCTGCTTTCACGTAATAGACAGAAGCTGGAATATACGGGTACGGCGGGTTTTTTATGTACGGCTATTTATTTGACGGTTTTATGTTTAGTTGACTTTTTAATATACCTGCTACATGCATCCAAAACCATTACACGCTCCTTTTCTGACTTTTCCATTTATGACTGTCGACTGTGAAGGCTTTTTAAATCAGGTGGATTCTAAAAGTAGACCCCCCCTGTAGATGTCAAACTCTCTAATGCTAATGCTCGTGTATACAAATGGGGATCCCCTTCAATTGCTCAGGATCAGTTCCCATAAATCCTTAGCACTGCATACCACGGATCTTACTGTAGAGTTCATCGACTCAGTAAATGGATCCACCCAAGTTGTTATAATTGAAGGCTCGGATCATGAATATGTCGAGACTTCCGACTCAGCCGACTTGGTTGATAGTTTTTAAAGGGGTTATTTGACCCTTCTATGTCATCCACCCCTAACAATAACATTGGAGCAGATTTCTCTTGAGTGGATCGATTTTTCTTTTTGAACGGCAACGAAGGATGTTTTAAACGATTAAACCATTTTATAAGCAAATTGTAAATTTGAAAAGTATTCATTTCAAACTTGGCTGATCAGCAGTTAAGTCAAAGGCTAATATAAAACTGTTTGTATCAAACATATCTTTGGAAATCTGAAGACCCCGATCATAATGTTTTATTCCGCTAAATCTGAATAGCATATTGTAGCCTAATGAGCCATGGATGTTTTCAGAGTCTTAGTAGTCAAATTCTAGAGCTTGGGAAGGAACTTGAAATACCATTACCATTATATATTATTAAAGCGTTGCATTTTGAAATGTTCAAAATGAAAGGGATCTAGTCCTCTGTTCCCTGACTATGATCGGCTTTTAACCATACAAAACGCTAGAAAATTTGGTAATTGTCCAATTATCACATTGTTATTAATATATTATTATTAATATTATTGTTATTACGCTATTAATAGCGTATTGTGTTCTGTGTAAATTGTAAACGATTTTACTTCTACTTTACTGAATGGCTAAAGAGCATTTTTTTGTTTGTAAAACATGATGATGAGCCAATAAAAGGGTGGGGTTTACAGTTACGTGATTCATGAAAAGTTGTGCTTCTAATATCTTTAAGTTTGATTCGGTATCGTTTTTCATCAAATAAAATGCGGTTTTTTCAATATTAAAATTATTTCTTAACTCAACATTATTTGCAAGCAGTTTCTTTTGATTAAATATACCACCGTGAATTTTTCCATATAGTTTTTAAATATATTTTTAGGAGTTTCATTAGAGCTCGGATAATCGTATTTTCCTGATGTTAATCCTCCAAAAATTGGAAAATAACCTTGCGAGGTCAAGTGGCTTTCCGAGGCATCCTCTTATAGTTTAAAACTGTTTGCAGATAGGCTCTATAATGATAATTATTATCACTCTGCGATAGTAATATGTTATTTAAATATACTGATGAACTTCTCCGACAGCATTGACAAGGACAAGTTGTAAATAAGCACTTCATAGAGCTCGAAATGTTTCACCATTTCCCAAACGAACAAATCCGGTTCGCCCCGTTCAAGGATTGGATTATAAGTAACCTCTTCTGTTCGTAGAATAAAACTTGGGTAGGGTGTGGTGCAAACAAATCTAATTCTCTTTTCATACATTCATACGTCTACTCATTTTGCGTTAGAAAAAATATGGCATATATTATATTATTTAATTTCCTTAATGATTTGTCTCTTTTATGATGCGTCTAAGTATGTTTACGTTGTCGTTTAGATGTTAAATGATTACGTTTTTTTCTAGCACCCCTGAAAGAAATATTTTGTATTTCTTTTTTCACTGCTATTTTGCAGGTTCTTGAATAATATTTTTCTACCAAATTCATTTTTATCCAGTTTCTGTAGCTTAATTTTTAATAGCATTTAATACCGGATGTTTTGGTAATTATTGTTTATTGTTATTATTGTTTTTATGTAATTAAAAAGACCACAAAAAAAGTTCAGATTTTTCGACCTTGTTGAATAATTCGTGGGGTTACATATAGGGTTCCTATATTGGGCAATCCAGCTCCACACTGACTTACATAATAATCCTGATAAGATTTCGTCATGATGACTATTCGTGTTCTAAGACAACATTATTGGGGCTTGTACTATTTATAGGTTTGACCTTCTCCTCTTTCTTAAGTGAAGAGTGACAAAAATCGGAACAGCGGAAGTTCAAAAGGAACTTTGTAACCACTCGAATCCGCAATTAATATTGAGATTTCATTTGAAGACCATATATCCAAAGGGTAATTTTATATTTTTAATTCTATATTTTAAAACATAATATTTCTTTCTTTGCATTACACGAAGACATCGAGGTCTCTTACTTACTACCAAAAGACTTCGGTTTGATTGTGTCAGTTTAAATAAAAATCAATCCATATTTAAGTATTTTCGATTGAACAGAGACGTTTTTATATCTAAATGTTTGAACAATTACTAAACTAAGACTAGGTTGTTTACCAGTAAGCTTTACTCTTGGTAATGCTGGTTTTTTTTTAATTTTTTCTTTACCGTCTAAAAACGAAGTGTTGTATATCTTGTGTTTATCGTTAATTTCATTTGGAATTTCAAATGATTTATTAACTCCATCTTCACCTTGGGGAGGTAAGTCAGCGAACTCTTCGTTTCTTAAAAATAAAACGCCTGACTTTGTGTAGTTTCTGATTCAATAAGTTAGTAGTTTCTTGTGATTTTAAATAAGTTTATTTTAAGGAAGGATTCTAGGAATTACATCAATTCGACGTTCTTATCGAATTTATATCCATTTAATACAATCACATATTTTGTTATTATTTAAAATGGGTAAAAATGTTGTACTTATTAATTCATTCCCTCGCGATCATTGTTAAATAATGCTTGAAAGGTGTTGGGTTATTTTGCTTATTTTTTTCAAACACATGGTTGAATTAGGACTTTTAATGTAGGCTTTGGACATGAAAGATATCACAATGCATTTTTACATTTTTTTTAGATGTACATTAGTGATTTTATGATTTCCTCGCAATGTACTTAAAACTATTTCTACTATTGTTTTTATCAGCTCATTACAACTATTGCTTACAATTGCCTTCCGTAATTTGTTTTTGGCTCTTTTGAGAACATACAATAAATATATGTTTGTTTGATTACAAGCGATTTGGGCTCTTTTTTGTAAACCATTTTCATCGGAATAACACACTATATTCCGAATTAAAAATGTTTGATCTAAATCTCAAGAGATCGTGTATTCCCTGAGTGAGATCAATAAGTAAATACCCGAGTGGTTGCTCTGTTACTTTTTTTTAAATTCTAAATAGCTCCATTAAGTTTTCTGGATAAATTTGTCTTGATAGGCATTGAAATTGAAGTTTGTCACGAGGATTTTTAAATGCAATCCATCATCAAGTCGTCCAATATCAATAGAATAGTTTCGTTTTCGATTGTTTCAGGAACTTCTTTAAAGTATTCAATCTTATTAAAATCAGGCTTAGCACTCTCCTCCCCATAATACCAAATAATTCAATCAATTCAAACTTTAACAACAGTCGAGTTACCCGACTATCAATCTCAAGCATGCTTTTTCCAGCTTTTGTAGTTCCTGAGATCGATGCGTTCATATGGTTAAACGGACACTGTATGAATCGGATCCCTCCGAACTTGTTTTACGTGGCGTCTTCCACATTACCGTGTTCCACATTACAACAACGGCACCCTATACATTCCTTTGGCGAAGCATTCCTCTAGGCGAATCTCTTTCTGCTCCCGCAATGTCCTCGCTATAGAGCCAGTCGTTCTCCTCCAGCGGGTATCCACGCTTCAGCTTGTATTTGACCGCTAATTTCTTAGCAGCCAAGTCAAGCGGGAGTGATCCAGCAAGAGCCTGCAGTGCCGCGGTGGACACTGTTCGGCATACCGATAGGCATCCAAGCAGGATCAGCCTATGGCAGGAGGCCAGTCGCCTCCTGGCAGCTACTTGTGCGGCGGTGTCATACAGCACAAAAGGTGCCGTGAGTCCGGGCATATATGGTCCGCCTGGCTCGACGACTGAAACCCCAGTCGAATCGAAGCACACGCGCCAATGCTCCAACGACTCCGGTCATCCGCTGGCGAAGTGAAGCTATGTGCGAGAGGAATTTCATTCCTTCACTGAACGTGATGCCAAGGTACCGATAGCTACACTCATACGTCAGGTTCGCTCCAGCAAACTTTAACGTAGGTGCACGTCTCAAGGTGCACGTCTCTTGCTGGTCGAAACGGCAACGCCAATTTTCGCTCCCCACGTTTCAACGATGGACATCAGTTCCCTCGACGAAAAAAAGCAGGTCATGCGCGTACGCACTTAGCAGGCAATACGGCTCGAGGCGCTGAAGTAGTACATCCATCAGCATGTCCCAAATAAATGGGCCGCTGATTGACCCCTGCGGGCAACCTCTAGTTACCGGCACATTCACTGCACCAGAACTGCTTCGGATCACTGCTCTTCGGCCGGCGAAAAAGCTCCCGGCATCCCAAGTCGGCTAGTCGGCGCTGTGCAGCATTCGACGTTGTCAATTGCTCCTGTGAAGTCCACGAATGTGCCGAGCACGTATTACGCCGCGCTGGCGTCAACACTGCTCTTCACGTGCCTCCAAGCATCCTCCACACATCGTCCTTGGCGAAATCCGAACTGCCATCTGCAGCCTTCCGGAAGAACTTCTCTTACACGATTCACCATGATTGCCTCAGGC